ACCTTTTGAGAGTTTGTATTTATGCAGTTTTCCAAAACATAGTGTAGTTCATGATGAAGAGAATGCACCCCATAATTGCTGTTTCGATATAAGACCATTATGTGAATATCTCTAATTTGAAACACCAGAAATTCAAATGTTTTATTATGTACATGGACCTTTTTTTGGTATTTATACTGAGTAAATTCAGAGATTTCATTTTTCACAAAAACAATTAAGCCCCGTTTACATCTTCGACTGCTTTGGTCCGTTGAATCCAGTCTCATTCTTGGCAATACTGTGAACCCTGGAATTTCATAGTTTTCATTATGCAGCGTCCAAGTTTAACATTTCCGTCAATATCCTTTAACAGATGAGGCTTTGAATTATGGTATACAATTTTCAAAGCATTAATTCAATATATGCACTTGTTGTCGTTTGAAAAAGTTGCGTTTGTACAAAACACCAAAGCCATTTAAAGAAAATGATAATGTACAATTGGAAATGACAAACTTACGAACGAACAAGTGTCTTAAAACCCATTACGAGTTTATGCATGAGATTACTGCTTTGAAAATTGTATACCATAATGTTCAAAGCCTTCATGCTCATATTGAAGACATTCGGAATGATTCGGTAATGTTAAAGGCTGACGTACTATGTTTTGTTGAAACTTGGACGCTGCATAATGAAAACTATGAAATTCCAGGGTTCACAGTATTGCCAAGAATGAGACTGGATTCAACGGACCAAAGCAGTCGAAGATGTAAATTTTGTGAAAAATGAAATCTCAGAATTTACTCAGTATAAATACCAAAAAAAGGTCCATGTACATAATAAAACATTTGAATTCCTGGTGTTTCAAATTAGAGATATTCACATAATGGTCTTATATCGAAACAGTAATTATGGGGTGCATTCTCTTCATCATGAACTACACTATGTTTTGGAGAACTGCATAAATACAAACTCTCAAAAGGTTGTTATATTAGGAGATTTCAATATATGCCGACAACGAACAAAATCGGAAACTGAAATACTCCTAAACAATAACAACCTTCTTTCTATTCTGAATACACCAACAACGAAAGGTTTAACACAAATTGATTGGTGTTTCAGTAATATTGACGATAGCATAATAAATGCTATAACATACGAAACTGTACATAGTTACCATGACACGATATGTGTTAACATATCCAATTGAATTGTAATATTTTCTCTTATTGTATTAATTTTTAGTTAAGTAAATGCCATGACGTGATATGTATTCACATATTAAATAAACCTGTAACAAATTCTTAGTTTATAATACATGATTTTAGCAAGAAATAAAATGCAATTGTACATTTGATATATTATTTGTATATCAAAATGAATACATATCAAAAGTGTTTTAAATTGCTAACTTATGTTAACAGTTTTAAGACAATCCTATTTGCTTGAATTGATTGTTTTTCTTGCAATTATATTACAAGTAAAAATAAAACCAAAACATGTCGAAGGATAAGCTATTCTGCGTAGTAGCTTTATATCATTCGACTGTTTACTCCTCCTTGGAATAAGCCTTGACGTGGCGGTGGAGCTAAGTACTTTCAAACTAGAAGGGAAACTAATTATTCCATTTTTTTGTCTCCAATTCTTAACACCTGTTAAAAATTTAGTCAGACAATGAAGATATATTAAATATGTTATTTCCACCATCATTACATGATGGCTATATTAACAACTGAAACATGTTGAATGGCCGCTACTTTAGTAGTGTTTTATTATTCGACTGTTTTACTCCTCCAAGGAATAAGCCTTGACGTGGCGGTGGAGCTAAGTACTTTCATAAAAGAAAGGAAACCAATTATTCCGTGTTTAATGTTGTAGTTTATAATATAGTCGGCAAAGCCAGATATTCAAGTCATCCTTTTTTTAAAGCGAGATTTACATATAGCTTTTATACATAATTTTGTTTTGAGTTTATACAAATGTCCGATTTCATGTACCCCAAAGATGATACATTTATTCTATCTTCTGGAGGAGCTTTTGTGTATATCCAAAGTGGTGTCAAAGTACGATAAGTCTACCATTCGTCTGCACTAACTGTTTGTCCAATGTCTAGCTTATGAATAATAGTCTACTGTAGAGGCACACGCTCGACCACTTGTTATCGCCAAAAGGGTTAAATGTCTAACAATTTATAGACAAGCATAGTATCTACTAAGCGATAGTTATCATTCAATTCCATTAAAAGCGATAGTCATGCGGTAACGTGACAAGCTAAAATTCAGGTAATTTTTTTAGCAAAAAATTTCTTATCATCAAAAATATTCTTAAAAAATCCACGCCTATTAATATCATCGAAAAATATTTTTAAATCAGTGAGCGGAGCAGTATAGTCGTGATAGTTGTACCCTCTTGCCCGATTAGAGGTCAACAGCACCTCTTTCTTACACTGACATTGTTTCCGAATATTACTAATATTATCTACAGTACTTCTAATTACTTCTCCATATTCCCTTCACCGTGCGTTGTGTTGTGGTGTTCGGCTTTTAATTGTGGCCTGCATCGACTCGAAAAAACAGAAAAAAAAGTTTTCGGTCCACTTCATCCCAAAATTATTATCTGATCATCATCGAAAATTATAGTTGTTGTCCTTGACCATAACTGGAACCTTGTGGAAAATTTCAAAGCGATCAGCGCTTTAATTCCGTCCTCTAGTGTGGTAATGGGTTAGTAAATAATATCTGAATATGTAAGCACCTGTATGAGTAACTCCCACATCCGAGTACATAGGACAATATAATTGGTATCAATTTAAAGGCCAACCACTCATCTTGGATATACTATCAACTTTTCGGGTGTATATACTTCAGGAGTAAATATATACGCCATAGAATACAAATTTTGTAATTTTTAACACAGGGTCCATTTGACCCCCTAATATTGACCGATCTTAATCACACCAGGCCTGCTTAATCTTTTGTCGGCTCCCCTTCTCCATGGCTAATGAGAGTGTATACACTTTGATACAGTGAAAATGTGCCTCGTCGAAATATTGGTTCTAGACCCCACGTTTTTTTTTTTTTTTTTTGGCTAAATCCATTTCAGAAAATGTTGATTTCATCCAAACTTTGCCTATCTTATTTTTTATTCCAAACATTGTTCAAGTTCGAAGATGGGAAATATCGGTCCACTCCTTCTGGTACGTCCCACATAGGGGCTAGGCTTAGGCCTAAATCCGGACTATAGTTCATATATAGTACATTATCGAACCTTACGTTCTATTCTCCGCAGGTGAAACGATTACAACAGAGTCTTAGAACCAAACCCAAAACGCAGAACAAATCAGATAACTGTTATAATATCATATCATATAAAACAAGTAAGGAAAGTAGTAAAGTCGAACTGGGCCGACTATATGATACCCTTAACCACTTTGGTGAAGGTCGACGCGTTTTTGTTATATATCTATATCTGTACCGATTTCAGGGAAACTTGTCAGAGACTAATTTATATTACTTCAGTACGTTGTGTCAATCGGTCTAGCTTTGGCAACATCATTCTAGACTTAATTCAGTACTCTACCAACCAAACTTCGTGCAAATCGAGAGATATATAGGGACTTTGGTGCACCAATTACATAAAATCGGTCGAAAATATATATGAGAGCTATATAAAATCAGAACCGATTTTCACGAAACTTAGCACACGTCATCGTGGAAATCGGATGATTTTCAGAGACTTTGGTTCACCAATTACATAAAATCGGATGAAAATATATATGGGAGCTATATCTAAATCTCGACCGATTTTCACGAAATTTTGCACACATTATTCTAGACATAATTCAGTACGATATGCCAAAATTCGCGCAAATGAAAAGATTTCCAGGTACTTTGGTGCACCAATTACCTAAAATCGGGCGAAACTACATATGGGAGCTTTATCTAAATATGAACCGATTTTCACGAAACTTGGCAGACATCATTTTAGACCTTATTCATTACGCTGTGCCAAATTTCGTGCAAATCGAAAGATATATAGGGACTCTGGTACACATTTTACCTTAAATCGGACGAAGATATATATGGGAGCTATATCTAAATCTGAACCGATTTTCACGAAACTTGGCAGACATCATTCTAGACCTTATTCATTACGCAGTGTCAAATTTCGTGCAAATCGAAAGATATATAGGGACTCTGGTATATAGGGACTTTGGTGCACCATTTACCAAAAAACGGGCGAAACTGTATATGGGAGCTATAACTAAATCTGAACCGATTTTCACGAAACTTCGCACACATCATTCTAGACCTAATTCAGTGCCCTATCCCAAATTTCGTACAAATCGAAAGATATATAGAGACTTTGGTACACCATTTACCTAAAATCGGGCGAAACTATATATGGGAGCTATATCTAAATTTGAGACGATTTTTCCCAATTTCAATAGGGTTCGTCCTTGGGCCAAAGAAGTGACATATGCCAAATTTCATTCAAATCGGATCATAAATGCGACCTGAACTATGGTTACAATTTAACATGGACAGACGGACGGACATGCATAAATCGGCTCAGAAAGTGATTCTAAGCATATTCTCAAAAGGAACCATGGTTCTATCTGGATTATTTTTGCCTGTTACAAACATATGCACAAAGACATAATACCCTGTACCACTATGTGGTGACGGGTATAAAAATAGAGGCTTCATTGGGTAGAACCCATCGTGAAGATTGATCCATAACTGTGGCTTGTATCGTGTTTACAAATTATAATGGACAAACGGATGGACGGACATACATGTCTAGATCGACTCAGCTAGTCGAGATATGACGATCGGTATTCTTAAAGGTGGGTCTAGGTCCAATATTCTTTGCGCTGCACAAAGCTCTAATACCCTGACAACATAGTTGTGTAGGGTATACAAATACACATTCGTTAATAACATCAAAAATATTTTTTTAAAAAATCCCTTTCCTTCCATCAGTTAAAAAAATATTATTATATTTTCCTAAATTAATTTATTTTAAATTTTCTCCACTTTCAACCACACCCCCTTGCCCGGTACCATTACAAAACTATGTTCTGAGATGTGCATTTTATCCAATGTCTTGGATGATACTGAAAAACGATATTTCGATAATAGGGCAATAAGGCCGACCTTCGCCTGCATACGGCCAAAACGTAAACCAATACAATTACGGGGACCATCACCGAAGCCCAAAAATGATTGTGGATGGCGTTGTTGCACCTCTGATGGGTGGAAACGTTCCGGTATAAATGCTGTGGGATTTTCATAGATCTCTGGATCATAGTGTATGGCTTTGACCGGTATGGCCACAGGAGTACCCTTTTCCAAGACAATATCCATATCGGGCACATGATAGTCTTCCATGCAGATGCGTTGCAAAAACGATAAGGCGGGATAGAGGCGTAGGGTTTCTGGAAAAAATTGGAGTTGTTTTTGAATTTTTCAAAAATAATTTTTTTGTTATTCTGCCTTACCTGATATCACCTGATCCAAGTAGGACATTTCCAACATTCCCTCATAGGTCAGCTGATTATTGTGTTTCTCGAGAACATCCAAAATTTCTTGCCTTAGAATATCCTGTTTATCGGGATTCTTGGCCAATTCATATAGGCCATAACTCATATTGCTCGAAGAGGTCTCAAACCCGGCCACGAAGAATACAAACAGCTGGGCTGCCACCAATTCCAAACTCAATAACGACTGGCCATTTTCATCCTTTTGATTTTTCAGCTCAATTAAAATATCAATGAAGTCATTGCGGCGAATATTCCGTCTCTCCCGCTCCAATACGGTGTCATTAACAATACGCAAAAAGAATTCCTCTACATCGGGAGCAAAACGTTTCGCCCCAAAATATCGTAAATATTTCATGTACACCCTCTTTGCCATACTCAATTTGATATTCGGTTTTTCCGAACCGAATACCTTTTGGCCTATAATTCGGAATTCGGCATTGGGATTGCGGATGCTATTCGTCTCTATGCCAAAGATGACGCTGCCAATGACATCGGTGGTGAAGCGGCCATTCCAGTCGTACATTTCCAAACACTGATCGGGTTTTGCCTTCAACTCCGCATCTAAGGCAGTCACATATTTCTGCGAGACCTCTACCAGGGTGGGGAACATAAATTTCATTTTTCCCGATGTAAAGGTGGGCGTCAGTTTCGTTCTCAGCCCCTTCCATATTTTACTATCGGCACTGAACAAATGTTGACTCAAAACATCGTGTGTATTGTGCTGCGGGAAACGATCCGTAAATTTATTGAAGTCCTTAATCAGGATCGTCTTCACCAAATCCAAATCAAGAATTACGGCAACGGGTCGGGTATACCAATAGGTTCCGGCAATTTTTACCTTATCCTTGAATTCATCGTAGACCTCCTGCCACAGATCGGTATGATGCATAGTGGTGATTCTCCGAATATTACCCCATATTCCAGTTTTCAGCTGGGATACTCCTTTCACCTCCCAATAAGATGTTCTCAGCTTCAAATAGGCATAGAGAGCCGAAATTAGAATCCAAATTAAAATTAACCAGATATTCATTTTTTTTTATTTTCGCTTCGTTTATGTAATTGTTGTTGTGGCGAATAGGCTAGACATCCAGTAGCGTTGAATGTCTGAAGGAAACTGATAACTACCGATTTGTGTTGTTCGCAGATAAACTTCTTCTATTTATTATCGTCTTATCTTTACCACAGTGACAAAGCAGAAATTGTGTAGTTGTCGAAAAGAAGAGTAAAACATTTTATTTTGTTTAAATAAAAACAGGGACAAATGGGAGAGATAAATGAGAGAGATAATGGGAGAAACTGTAAGTACTCTCAATGGCCCAGATTACTATAATATCAGTTAAAGAAAAGTATTTGGCATAGATTATTTTAAAATATTTTTTGGATAATATTAATAGGCGTAGATTTCAAAAAAAAAAAAAAAAAAAAAAATTTTGTCCGTCCGTCCATCTTGTCGTCCGTCCTTCCGTCAGTCCATGTATTTTTGTGAACAAAGTACAGGTCGCATTTATGATCTGAATTCGATGAAATTTGGCATGGGTCATTTATTTGGCCCAAGGATGAACTCTATTGAAATTGGGAAAAATCGGCTCAGATTTAGATATAGCTCCCATATATAGATTCGTCCGATTTAAGGTAAATGGGGCACCAATGTCCTCATATATCGTTCGATTTGCACGAAATTTGGCATAGAGTACTGAATTAGGTCCAGGATGAAGTATGCTACGATTCGTGAAAATCGGTTTAGATTTAGATATAGCTCCCATATATATTTTCGTCCGATTTAAGGTAAATGGTTCACCAAAATTCCTATATATCTTTCGATTTGCTCGAAATTTGGCACAGCGTAATGACATAGGTCTAGAATGATGTGTGCTTAGTTTCCTGCAAATCGGTTCAGATTTAGATATAGCTCCCATATAAATTTTCGTTCGATTTAATGTAAATGGTGCCCCAAAGTCCCTATATATCTTTCGATTTGCACAAAATTTGGCACAGCGTAATAAATTGGGTCTAGAATGATGTGTGTTAAGTTTCGAGAAAATCGGTTCAGATTTAGATATAGCTCCCATATATATTTTCGTCCGATTTAATGTAAATGGTGCACCAAGGTCCCTATATATCTTTCGAGTTGCACGAAATTTAGCACAGCGCAATGAATTGGGTCTAGAATAATGTGTGCTAAGTTTTCTAAAAATCGGTTCAGATTTAGATATAGCTCCCATATATAGTTTCGTCCGATTTAAGGTAAATGGTGCACCAAAGTCCTTATAAATGTTCCGATTTGCACGAAATTTAGCACAGCGTAATGAATTAGGCCTAGAATGCTGTGTGCTAAGTTTTCTGAAAATCGGTTCAGATTTCGATAAAGCTCCCATATATATTTTCGTCCGATTTAATGTAAATGGTCTACCAAAGTCCCTATATATTTTTCGATTTGCACGAAATTTGGCACAGCGAAATAAATTAGCTATAGAATGATGTGTGTTAAGTTTCGAGTAAATCGGTTCAGATTTCGATATAGCTCCCATATATATTTTCGTCCGATTTAATGTAAATGGTGCACCAAAGTCCCTATATATTTTTCGATTTGCACGAAATTTGGCACACCACAATGAATTGGGTCTAGAATGATGCGCGTTAGGTTTCGTGAAAATCGGTTCAGATTTACATATAGCTCCCATATATATTTTCGTCCGATTTAATGTAAATAGTGAACCAAGGTCCCTATATATCTTTCGATTTGCACGAATTTTGGCACAGCGTAATAAATTAGGTCTAGAATGATGTGTGTTAAGTTTCCTGAAAATCGGTTTAGATTTAGATATAGCTCCCATGTATATCTTCGTCCGATTTAAGGTAAATGGTGCACCAAAGACCCTTAATATTTTTCGATTTGCTCGAAATTTGGCACAGCGTAATAAATTAGGTCTAAAATGATGTGTGTTAAGTTTCGAGTAAATCGGTTCAGATTTCGATATAGCTCCCATATATATTTTCGTCCGATTTAATGTAAATGGTACACCAAAGTCCCTCTAAATGTTTCGATTTCCACGAAACTTGGCACAGCGCAACGAATTACGACTAGAATGATGTGTGTTAAGTTTCCTGAAAATCGGTTCAGATTTAGATATAGTTGCCGTATATATTTTCGTCCGATTTAAAGTAAATCGTGTACCGTCCGACTTTACTACCTTCCTTATTGGTTTAAAAAATATTTCTTGATATTACTAAAAAGCGCGGATTTCTTAAAAATAATTGTTTTTTTATTTAACAAATAGGCGTAGATTTTGTTTTGATTTATTTTTTTTTTTCTTAATAATATTTTTTATTATTATTTTTGTTATCTCAAACTATACATCGTGCTTTAATTATCTTATTTCCTTCACTTCAAAAATTAAGAGTGAGAGAGAACCACATCACACCACTATGTTAGCAAGTGCAAAGTCCACGAGCGAACATTACTCATAGCAATGTTAACTGCTTTTATTAAGGTTTACACATGTGAGTGATAAGCTCATAGAAGATCCACACGCTCGCCCATTATCAGCCAAAAAATTTACCACCTAATGATTTAGTTTTTTTCTACAAGTCATCCCATCATAGCATATTTTGCTAAGAGTTGTCGGTGGTTCAATTACGCTCAGACAGATAGACGTGCGTAAACGTGACAAGCTAATATGTTTCGAATGTTGTATAGAACCGCTTATTTAATATATTGCGGTACTAATAAAGTTCACGCAAAAGAAATTACTAAGGTGAACGAAAAAAAATTCAAAACCAAATATTCAAAACGAAGATAAAAACGCAAAAAATATCAGTAGAACAACATAAATAATTTTGTTTTCTAATTTGAATTATTTGTATACGTCACGTAAAGAAATTAAGACAGAACCACATCACGTCACTATGTTAGTAAGTTCAAAGTCCACGAGCGTGTTACTCACATAACTGGTAACTGGTTTTACATTTGTGAGTGATAGCGTACAGAAGATCCGCACGCTCACTCATTGTTTCCCAAGCATTTTATTATGATTGATGATTTTTTATTTTTCACTAAGTCTGTCTGTCTGTGGTCTAAGGTTCAATTGCGATGAGACAGATAGACGTCCGTTGTATAGAACCGGTTATTTTAGTATTTGGATATTAATAAAATTTGAAATAAAAATGGTTTAACACTGTGTAAAATATTGAAAAATATACACCTATTATTTTCTTAAAATATTTTTTTAAATCCACGCCTTGCGGATTTCTTCATAAAAATATTTAAAAAACACCTCTTGTGGAATTAAAAGAATAATATATTTCTTTTAAATCCACGCCTTGTGGATTTCTTCATAAAAAATATATTTAAACCAGTGAGCGGAGCAGTATAGTCGGACGGTGCCGACCATACGATACCCTACACAACTACCACGGAACTCAAATTTTTTGCGGATGTTTATTCCGAGCCTGGGCAATATTTCGTGATATTTTCCCCCTCTTGCCCGATTAGAGGTAAACAGCACCTCACAGTAACATATTTTCCGAATATTTCGAGTATTCAGTACAGCTTTTGTCCAAATTCTAGATTCCTTCGGCTTTCATTTGTGGTCTATAGATCGACTCGAAAATAACACAAAAAATAAGTTTTCTGTCCACTTCATTCCAAAATTATTATCTGATCATCACCGAACATTATAGGCGTTGTCCTTGACCATAACTGGAACCTCATGGAACATTTCAAAGCGATCAGCGCTATATTTCCGCCCTCCAGTATGGTAATGGGTTACTAAATAATATACGTATACGGAGATACCTCTAAATATTTGGGTGTGACTCCCACATCCGAGCACATACAACAATATAATTGGTATTAATTTAAAGGTCAACCACTTCTCTTGGATATAAAATCAACTTCTCGGGTCTATGTCCATCAGGGACAAATATATACGCTATAGAATACAAATTTTGTCATTTTTCACACAAAAGTCAGGGTCCATTTGACCCGCTAAATATTGACCGATCTTAATCAACATAAGCATGTTTATTCTTTGGCCCGATCCGCTTCTCCAAGCAAAATTTCAAGATGTTCGAGCCATTATTGCGGCCTCTGGAGCGACCAGAAAAACCGACAAAAATTTAGTATTTGGTCCATTTCATCCCCTAAATATTAATCGATCTTTCCCAAAAACAATGGGGGGTCTTCATTGGCCAGAACCCATCCTACATGCAAAATTTCGTGAAGATTGGTCCATAACTGTGGCCTGTATCGTGTTTACAAATTATAATGGACAGACGGACACACATGTCTAGATCGACTCATCTAGTCGAGATATGATGATCTGTATACTTAAAGGTGGGTCTAGGACCAATATTACAAACTTTTGGGGCTGCACACAGCTATAATACCCTGACAACATAGTTGGGTAGGGTATAAAAATCAACTCCCATTATATTTTTTAACCAGTATGCCAGTTATGTGTAGATTCAGAACAAAAAAAAAAAACAAGTGAAAAAGCATTAAGTTCGGCCGGGCCGAACTTTGGATACCCTCCACCATAGATATATTGGCAGGTACTTGAAATGAAAATATAGGGAAAAAACAAAAAAAAAACGGATCTATACTGACATCTCTACAAACCGATTATGTAAACAATAATTTTTAATAGAAAATTATACCCTCACCCTTATAGCTAATTAGTGTGTATACACTTTCACACGGTGAAAACGAGCCTCATCGACATATTGGTTCTAGAACCCATGTTTCTTCGGACCAAATCCGTTTCAGAAGAATTTGATTTCATCCCATCTTATTATGTCTTCCAAACTTAGTTCAATTCCGAATTTGGGGAATATCGGTCCATGCCTTCTGGTACCTCCCACACAGGGGCTACGGCTAAGCCTAAATGCGGGCTATAGTTCACATATAGTCATCATTATCGAATCGTACGTTCTAGTTTTTTATCTCGATATCCTTCGCAGGTGAAATGATTACAACAGAGTGTTAGAACCAAACCAAAAACGCGGAAAAATCAGATAATTATTAAAAAA